CCCCTGAATCTCCTTAGAACCATCCGATGCTCTCTCTATATCATCATCGTCTTGCTTGCCCACCTTTTCAACTAACAACCCCCACTCTCCTTCCTCACTCCCCCTTCCATTCTCACTCTCTCTCTCCTTCCTTTCTCTCTCTACTACATTCACTGTCATGAGAAACTCTTCCAAGAACAACAAGTTCTTTGTATGGTAATTACATTACTAGAGCAGAGTATTAAGGGATTTATATTTTGAACAATTATGGTGAAGAACCGAGTTAGGCAAGAAAATGCGGTAATTTCCCACTTTATCTTATATGAGAAATGGAGCTATCTCCAGACATTTGCTAATGAGTTCATAGGAGGTTGATACCTTCACTGCTATGACTTCTATTGGAAACTCAATATTTTATTGTTCAAGGGTTTAACAATACAATTAATGCACAGAGAATTTTGACACTATGAATGTTGGAGACCATATTGTATATATCGTCTTCATTCATAAAATGTAGAGAGAGAGAGTGAGAGTGAGAGTGAGAGTGAGAGTGGAAGGGGGAGTAAGGAAGGAGGGTAGGGGTTGTTAGTTTAAGAGATGGGCAACCAGGACGATGATGATGTAGAGAGAGCGTCAGAGGGTTTAAAGGAGATTTAGGGGAGGAGGGAGGGAGAGAAGCTGAGAAAGAAGACAATGAATGCCCACCACATAAGCCCCTATCTCCTTAAACTAACAGTGTTAGTAACGGAAGGACCCCCATTAAAACTGAGCAAACAATAAGGACATGATTAAAAAAAAAAACTATAGGGACCTAATTTAAAACTGGGTAAAACTATAAGGACTAGCAAATTAATTATCCCCAAGTGTATTGGTTAAAACTATTATTATTATAAAGATTGTCTAGAAAAAATAGATAAATATGAGAGATAAAATGGATTAGGATCTTATATTTAATATCAAAATAAAAATCAAACAAATTCTTATATTAAAAACCGGAGGTAGTATTATGCAAAAGAAAAATTTAATATGAAAGATTAAAAAAATAATGAAACTTTAGGACCAAATTAAAACACTCGGTTAAAGTTTACATTTGGGAACCGAGGAAGCTATCTTCATCTATCAAATAATAATAATTATAACAAAAGAACAAAATATTTTATCGAGTAATTAGGAGGTGAGTTCTTTGCATTATACCAAAGAGTATGATAAATGAATTTTAATGTTTTGTATAATTTCACATGAGATATGCTATATAGCATAATTTACAGCAATTGGTATTATTGATAATTATTTTGTGTGCATGATAGTAAGTTAATAACACAATATACATATAATGCACATTTTAAATGTTAATAATTACTCCTCCGGTCTTTTATATAGAACATAATTATTGAGTTGATTTTAGTCTTAAATATAAAATATATTTATCATATTTATCAATTTTTTTTTAAATTATTCTTATTAATACTCTTTCAACCATAATCAAATAAGAGAGAGATGGAGGATATTAAAAAAGATGATTATGGTATTTAGAAAAAACATATCATATTTCTTATAATTAACTAGCTTACCTAATTTTTTTAATTTAATAAAATTAGTTAAATGGGTAAAGATCAGAGGAGTAATTATTACATAGTTTTCGTAGGTAACGCGCTTTGTATGACTGCATAAGTTTTTTTATTATAAAATAAAAAATGCTTTTCCTTCTCGCGCAAGCTCCTCCGGGTCTCTGTAATGAAGTGCTCCAGAACCCAAAATAGAAAAGCCCATTCATATTTTCCAACCAGGCCCAATTTAAACTTCTACTACGAAGAGAAAACACACATGTATATATATAATAGGAGCCCACCGGGTCTAAGTCTAATAGAAGAAGTTAATCTCTGACAACATGGTGAATTAAGGGGGTGTTTGGATATAACTAAATTATGGTTTGGAGAATAGCTTCTGGAGAATAGATTTTGGGGAGAATAGATTTTTTGAAGAATAGATTTTGTGAAAAAGTGATTCTGAAAAGTAAGAGTGTTTGGATAGTCGTTACCAGAAACACTTTTTACATGTACAAATTACTAAAAAAGGCATAAGTTAATATGATAATTACAGAAAAAATATATTTTATGATATATTTTAATTTGAAGGAATAAAATTGTTAATAATATATTTTTTATTAACATAATTAATAATACATAAGATAATATAATTAATAAATAATTAATATGTATATATTTATAAGATATAAGATTAAATATATTTATAAAAAAAATATGTTTATAAAAAAAAACAAGATACATATCCTATAGGCTCTCACACTCTCCTTTTTTTTTTTCAAAAGCAAAAATTTTTTGCTTTTCCCAAAACCATGGTTTTGGTTTTTTTAAGAGTGTTTGGGTGATTTTTTTCCCAAACCATGGTTTGGGTTATCACCCAAACACCCCCTAAGATTCAAATTTTTACTAAAAGAGATGCTTACATGACAAATAATGTCTCAAACAGGATTACTTGTGCTTACCAAAATATATACATAATAGGAAAAAAAAAAGCGTCGGTGCAATAACGGTTGCTTTACTCTGGGAGATAATATTTTTTGTTATACGAAATGATAACAACAACTTAAGCAGTAAATAATAACTTTTTCTTAACAAATAATAAAAACAACTTAACCAGTATGTATTTATTCTTATAAAAATGAACAGATGCAGTAATATATAATAAAACTGATCTTATGATCATGAACATTAAGCATTTAAGCTAAAATGTGAGGTCTAGGACCTTTGTAAGCAAATTTGGTCGCTGATTGGGTAGCTAAGCTTCGTTGGACAGGGTCTTGCCCTCTGAATTGTATGTTGGCGATCATCGTTACGTAAATTAGTGGCAAATGATCTTCAACAATAGTCTTCATTTGAACCTGGATGATGTTTTTGGTTTTAGTAGCTTAGTTTTTCTTCTTTGCATATTGATTTTTCTAGTGGTGGGGAGAATCACCATGAGACCCCAAAAAAACAAAATAATCAATAAATATAATAATAATTGAACTATCATCTACTATTTGAAACTTGTCATTACGGGTTATTCAGTTCTTACTGTGACTTTTTAATAATTATATTTTTTACTTAGGATTTCAGAGTAATTTTGTTGGCCAAAAAAAAGGAAAAAAGAGATGGGGTCTTCCACTCCTCCAATGCCGGTTTATTCTCTTATTTTCGGACTTCGCTCCTCGTTCCTTATTCCTCACACAAATAATCTCACTTCTTGATTCTCATTATTGATCACAACGCAACATCAAAAATCCATTTTTGCATCCAGTCAATTATATGGGATTCTTTTCTTTTCGTGCAGATAAGACATTTTCCCTATTTTATCTTGATTCTTGTTTCCATAAATATTTTAGCATATCATAAACTAAATATTATTTGAAATATTTTTCTTAATATTTTGTTAACATCAAAAGTAATAATTAGTTGACTGGCGTTGCTAAGAGTTTGATGCTAAGATAGGTGATTCTTCTTAATATGCCGGAAGAAAGATTCTTTCTTTCTTATATACTCCTCTGATCCTAAATATAAGACCTTTATAGTATAAGGGTCTTATATTTAGAACTGGAAGAGTAATTATTTAGTTTGGTTATGTTGAGTATTATTAACTCTATTGGGGTAACCTTCCTAGAAGGCAGCTTTTTTTTTTTAATTTAAATAGTTTTGAATTTGAGATCTCTTATTTAAATGACAACATAAGTATAAAAAATGGGAAGAATTGCTATAAAGTTAAAAGAAAAAAAACATAATAATTAAAAGGTTCAATGGCAATAAAATAGCATCCAATGACAAGTTTTAGTGGGTCATTGAAATTTTTCAATAATTATTTTTTGGGATCTCATTTAATTTTGCCAAAAAAAAAAATTCCCCACGAATAAGAACTTGACCACCACACTTTTATGTTTTTCTTTCTTTCTCTTCCTTTATTCCCTCTGGCCTTTTGTTTCCAGTCGCCGATTAGGATTTAAGACATTGGCCGTTAAGCGCAGATGGATAATCCACGAGACTGCCGAATTGGTATTAATGACTACTCTTTTTGTTGGCCCGTTTTTATAGGCAATATTAGACTCTATTATATAAATCAAAAAGTTAGTTAGAGATAATAAATAAGTAAGAGAGAATGTGTGATGGATAGAAATGATAGTTTGAAAAATAAAATAATAAATATATTGAATATTAATATAAATAATTAATGGGGATAAAATAGGAAATTTATTATAAAAATTTAAGATAACTTGCAATGTTACTTATAATTAAAAGCAAAAAAAGAATGGTAATTGTTGCTTATAAAAAAAAGACGAATAGTATTTTACAAAATATTTGTGATTTCCTCATTTCATCACTTATTCAAAAATGAATTTTTAATTTTTAACAAAAATTAAATTTAGATCATTCAAATTAATAAATGAGACCGTCCTTATATCATCTTCAAACTTAGTCATTTTTATGTCAAAAATCGAGCCGCTGTTAGTTCAACTAACTATAATCATTATTAGTACATAAATATAAAAACTAACAAATTATATTGTTAACAAACTCTAACAAATCATAGTGTTAAGTGTTAACAAGCCGTGTATATTAATATTTGTTGATCTATAATATATATGACTCATATTTAAATAACAAAAAAAATTGTACTATATTTTTGTACTAAAAAAACTAAGACTATTTTAGTATTTAGTTGACTAAGAAGGTGGAAAAGTCAGCGTTCACACTACCAATTACCAAAGTTGGCTTTATACTTCTCTACACAGTGAAATGCCAGGAAACTTCTCAAACATGTTCTAGGAAGCCAGCATTCTCTGAAAAACGCGTTCTAGGAAACGGGATTGCCTTTTCCCTTGCCCCAGCCGTATCAAAGCAGCATAAGATTTGGCGAATATAATCTATTACTTCTTCAATAACTACGTCATAGTCTCTTCCCTTCTCAGCATCTATCATTTGCTTTTCATACACCAGCTTGCATTTCAGATTTGAGTCTTCTTCTTCCCGATGAGTTCCTCATATACCACTCCAGAAAGATTTTCTTCTCTCTCAAAACCTGTCAATTCACTTCAAAGTCCTACTTCCTCCTACGATAGCTTTAACTCCATCCAAACAAGTAAGAAGCATAAACTATACATTTTATTCGTTTTTCTCAGTCCATAATATATTGTTGGTCAAATTTTCATGGGTTTCTCTTAATCTCTTGAAATTGCAGATAAAGAAAAGGAAGATATAGCGCAGAAGAATATCTCAGGCAGGAAAAATAGCACTTTTGCATACAGGATCTGTGAACATGGTAGGTCAGATTTCAGTTTAACAGATCAGGCTAAAGCAAAGCAAATGCTAGTTTTCTGATGAAATCGTTGTTTGTTAACTCAACACCTGTGAAATTGCAGTGAAACTGGGTCCAAAGCTGTCAGAAACTCTGAAGGGAAAGTTGAGCTTGGGGTCAAAGATCATACAAGAAGGTGGAAGAAGGAACATTTTCAAGCGTATTTTTGGGATGGAAGATGATGAACAGCTTTTGAAAGCTTCACAGTGTTATTTGTATACAACGGCTGGTCCTATTGCAGGCGTTCTCTTCATTTCCACAGAAAAAATTGCATTTTGCAGCGAAAGGCCCATGAACTTCTCTTCTTCCACAGGAGATTTAGTCAGTGCACCTTACAAGGTAGTCTTGATCTGTTAAAACCCATATATATATGTGTGTGTGTGTGTGATCGAATTGATGTGTAATTATTGTAATGTATTGTACTGTGTTGATATGAAAGTTGGTGGGGTTAATTATGCAGGTTTTGATACCAATAGAGAAGATAAAAGAGGCCAGTGAGAGTGAGAATGTGAACAAGTCAGAACAGAAGTTCATTGAGATAGTGACTAAAGATGGCTCTGAGTTTTGGTTTCTGGGGTTTCTGCGGTATGAGAAAGCTTTAACAAATCTCCAGAAAGCCATTTCTATGGCCAGTTAGATCTCACCACGTAACTAAATTCTTGAACTTTTGTCAGAGTCTCTAATGTATAAATCATGAAATGTGTGTGTATGTATATATGTGCGCGCGCGCACCCTTTGCACAAGTATTAGAGTTTGACTTTTTTTTTTTTTTTGGGGCTCTTTGTATTAAATGGAGATTGATAGTTAGTATTAAATTTTGTTTATATTTTACTGAATTATTCAATGTCAACCCGCCGCTGATGCTTTGTCTGAACGAAAAGCTTTTGATTATTATTTTTTGCATGCCTTGAAAAGCCACTAATTTACAAGATTAAGCTTTTTTCATGTATATATTGATATTGTTGATGACAACTGCCTTCCAAATTAATGAGACGCATGTGAAGTTGGCAAGTATAAGGATTTATATTTATTAGATGTTGTCTTGGTTCCTTCAAATTTCAAACCTGCCACTCTTGAAAAAGAATTTGATTGAATAAAAAATTATTAGAGTAGAAGTCCAAAATGTATAGAGGAAGAAGGAATATTCAGCCTCGAAATACTTAAAGGAAATAATTGTTCTCAATTTATTATTAAAATTTAGAAGCTGCCCCACTGGCGAAAAATTTAAGATAAAAAGAAATGGAAAAGGGTTAATGCTATTTTTAATTATCAAAATTTAATCTTATTTTAATTTTAGTCCTTGAATTCTAAAATCAGTAATTCTGATTCTTGATTTTGGTTTTATTCCTTAAAAACATTATTTTAAGAACTAAATATTTGTAAGCAGGAATAAATAAAGTCAAATTTTAAAGACAATAATTAAAATGAAGTCAATATAAAATGAGTAAGTAACCATTGAACTTGGAGACCTTTGGTTGGCAGGCAAGCATGTTTGGACTGTCTGGCAAAAAATAGAAAAGTATGCTTGGACAAATAAGTAGGAAAAACGTGTTTTTAATTTTTGTCAAATTGGTTTTTTGGTACTTTAATTGGGCCAAAAATGAAAAAAAATCATTTTGTGTGGGCTATAAGCTGAGTGCCCACTCACTTGAAAAGACCTTTAAAAGGTCCATCTTTAATAGGCTTAATCATTGGCTGAACCCGGTGGGAAAAAAGCTGGCTGAACCCATTTGACTTTCGAGGGAAAAAGTCGATCAGGGTCAATATGGGCTGTCTTTCTTTTTTGAGCCTTCCTTCGCCTAGCTTTTTAGTCACAGGACAAAGTTTGTGCCAATTTTACCCCCCCAAAAAAGTTTGCCATAAAAATTTTCTATAATTAATTGCACTGGCCCAAAATTTAAATAATTTTTTTAAAAAAGTAAAATTAAAGTTCTTGAATGTACCTAGTTCTAATTTTCTTTCAATACAATTCTATATTTCATTTTTGGGTTAATATAAATTTTCGTCCTTTAAATTTGTTTTTGTTTTGGTTTTAGTTTTTTAAATTTCTGTCATGATAGTTGTTAACCGTTACACCTTAAGTTGTTAGCGACTATATTTTTAGTTGTCAATGCATGCTTTAAAAAAAGATACATATAATTTGGTAATTAAACAAATAAAATATCTATTTTGGAACTTCAAAAAAATAATTTGATAATTTCAAGAGATATTTTTTTATTTAATTTTCTTTTGTGGGACTTTATTGCAATTTTTTCATAAATATAGTATTAAAATAAACAATTAAGAGGAGTCAAATAGAACACCTACTAAGAAAATTGGGAGAATTTCAATTAAAGACCGCAGAAGACAATTTATATCAATCAAGGACCAAAACTTTCTGAAATTTCACTACAGGACCAAAAGACCAAATTGAAATTAAAATTTAGAGTGAGATTACAATAATACCCCTCCCTTTTTATGTTATTAAAAAATAAATATTAACTAGAAATATTGTTCCGGCCACCGGTGCTCAGGTGGTTACCGCCGGGAGTCTGGCCATTGGTGGCCGGAACAGTAGCTCCAGCCGGCCTCCAGTGGCCGGAATTTTTTTTGTTTAAAACAAAGTAGCCAAGAGAGGGTTTGAACCCATAACCCCTTGGTACACCAAAAAATTTGCAACCACCAAGCTAAGCAACCCATTCAAACATAAGTTGCAAATAAAAATATATATAACAAAACAAACGCAACTGTTTGAGTGTAAGTAAACAAGTGAAATTAGACGATTTACAAGTGGAATTCAGCAATTTACAACAAAAATTAGGCAATCTACAAATAACATAATAGAAGTCATAATCCCAAATGCAAGTGTTTAAGTGCAAATGAGCAAGTGAAATTTGAAGATTTACAACAAAAATTTATGAATTTACAACCCAAATTTAGCAAATAAAAGAGAATGCACAACCCAAAATTTAATTGTTTGAATGTAAGTGAACAAGTGAAATTTGACGATTTACAAGTGGAATTCAGCAATTTACACCAAAAATTAGGTAATTTACAAATAACATAATCGAAGTCATAACCTCAAATACAAGTATTTAAATGCAAATGAGCATGTGAAATTTGAAGATTTACCACAAAAGTTTATGGATTTACAACCCAAATTTGGCAAACACAGGAGAATTCACAGCCCAAAATATAAGTGTTTGAGTGTAAGTGAACAAGTGAAATTCGACGATTTACAAGTGGAATTCAGCAATTTACAACAAAAATTAGGCAATTTACAAATAACATAATTGAAGTCATAACCCCAAATGCAAGTGTTTAAATACAAATGAGCAAGTGAAATTTGAAGATTTATAACAAAAGTTCATGAATTTGCAAGAGAATTAGGCAAACACAAGAGGATTCACAACCCAAAATGCAAATGTTTGAGTGTAAGTGAATAAGTGAAATTCGACTTGCATTTGAGGTTATAACTTCGATTATGTTATTTGTAAATTGCCTAACTTTTGTTGTAAATTGCTGAATTCCACTTGTAAATCGTCGAATTTCACTTGTTCACTTACACTCAAACACTTACATTTTGGATTGTAAATTCTCCTGTGTTTGTCAAATTTGGATTGTAAATCTATAAACTTTTGTGGTAAATCTTCAAATTTCACTTGCTCATTTGCACTTAAACACTTGCATTTCGGATTATGACTTCTATTATGTTATTTGTAGATTGTCTAATTTTTGTTGTAAATTGCTGAATTTCACTTGTAAATCGTCAAATTTCACTTTTTCACATACATTCAAACACTTACATTTTGGGTTGTGCATTCTCTTGTATTTGCTAAATTTGGGTTGTAAATCCATAAACTTTTGTTGTAAATCTTCAAATTTCATTTGCTCATTTGCACTTAAACACTTGCATTTGGGATTATAACTTTTATTATATTATTTGTAGATTGCCTAATTTTTGTTGTAAATCGTCTAATTTCACTTGTTCACTTATATTCAAACAGTTGCATTTGTTTTGTTATATATATTTTTATTTGCATTTTATGTTTGAATGGGTTGCTTGGCTTGGTGGTTGTAAACTTTTTGGTGTGCCAAGGGATCATGGGTTCAAACCCTCCCTTGGCCACTTTGTTTTAAATAAAAAAAATTTCGGCCACCGGAGGCCGGCCAGAGTTACTGTTCCGGCCACCGGTGGCCGGACCTCCGACCTCCGGTAGCCGGAACAGTATCTCCGATTAATATTTTTTTTAATAAAATAAAAGGGGAGGGGTATTATTGTAATCTCACTTTAAATTTTAATTTCAATTTGGTCCCTTGGTCCTGCAGTGAAATTTCAGAAAGTTTTGGTCGTTGATTGATATAAATTGTCTTCTGCCTTCCTTAACTGAAATTCTCCCAAGAAAATTTGAGACATCCTACAAATATTTCTTATAAGCAGGGAGAAGATATAGATTAGATGGTATAGTATGGTAGTTGTTTCTTATGAAAGCTCATGGTTAACGTAACACCTCACATAATTATATCTACATACGTGATAAAATATTTTATTTAAAAGTTCTTAAGTATTTCTAACACTTCAACTGGTCATAATTTTAAAATATTTCTGACATAATTTAACAACATAAACTATTGAAATCTTATAGTCATGACAAATAAAAATATAACATAGCATGTGTTTGAAGAGCGCAAAAGCCATCACGGCTCACTCTATTGATGCCTTCCCTTAATTCTTACTAGATCTTTCACCTGAAAATGTTAATGTAAAGAGTGAGATCAAACGTCTCAATAACTACTGAAATTCTAACCTATACAAACAAACTATATATGATAAACAAAAATCTGTTTATATGTGTATATATATTTATGTATGAAAATCACAGATTTTATTCATTCATCTCAATTTCATTTTTGATTCAACAATATACCAACATCATTTTTCCAATATATTCAAAAATAATACAATATGCAGCCTCCTTTATATCATTGTCCACTCTTATACTGCTGACTGGAGTCATAGGCTAACACATAGTCCAATAGGAACTAATCCATTTTACTGAATTATTTTAAGCTCATCGATATTGAAGATATATCTGGCCAAAGATATAAAGCTCTTGTTCGGACTATAGCTCCCCTCCTTTGCAAATAAAATAAGGAGGTGTCACATGTCCCACAACTCTAATGAATTCTCGGTCAAAGGAAAACATGAAAGAAGGTTCCCTAACAACTGTTATCCAATATCCACTGTGCACCGAGTGATGGTATACCACGTGGTAATTTATATCCATACAAATCTCCTTCTATTTTTAGTCCAACAATACATATATCAGATGCAAATAATGTTACATCATAAATACGTCTTCAAATATATTATTAAAAATAACATAGTAATAAAATTTCTGTATCATTTAATAGCAACTCATAATAATTTCATAGATATCAATATATTTAAATATTGATCATAATCAATAGTAATAAATCTTAACAAAATCAAGTAACATATCAAAACATTTATTTGAAAAATCATAATATTATATTTTAGTAATATAAAAATTAGTAAATCCACAATATAATCATACACAATTCACATGTACAAGAAAGAATTTTTAGAGTTACTTGGTATGGTTTAGCTTACAAATATTCACAAAATTACTCTAAAATTCTCAAGAGTCTACAAAATTACATATAAATATTTATTAATATAAAACTCAAAACTATTCTTAAAACTATTTTAAAATTCTAAGACTACCCTCTAAACTAAAATTACAAAAATATTAACTCTTCCCAAATTTTGCTATTTATAATGGATATAATATTATTTTAAAAATATAATTTACATATAAGACTATTTAAATTTTAATAACTTAAGTAAATATATTTTTATTACCCAAAAATCTAAATATTTCATATTA